AAACGCGTATTAGCTTATTTCGTATTTTCGCTTAAGTACAAATTGTGTTGGCAATGCGGGCAAGAACAGTCAGCTGATTTTCATCATTTATTTAAAAATGTCTGATATTAAATTAAATTAGTTTGAATATTTAAATTTGTGAACGTATTATTAACAAATCTTTCAAATGAATTGATTTTTTTATTTGAGGTCAAAAATACAAAAAACTGAAAACAAAACTTTTAATTATGTCTTAATTTTAACGTAATTTCCATTTACAAAAATCTGTAGTTTGGATTTGTTTACAATTTCATTTGTCAAAATAATGTTTTGTAGTTATTACCAACAACTCGGCTTTTGCAAACGACCATTTATTGTGAACGAAAAAAACGAAGCAACTGTTAATGTCTCTATTTCTTCCATACAAAATAAGCTGATAGCTTAACGTGCTGTTCAAATAAAACACATCTATTTTTACATTTATATTATAAATAATAAAGGCCTTGAAACATAAATTTTACGAATTATTATCAAATAAAGTTTTCTTTATAAAAATATATTTTTAATAAATGYTGAAATTATTTCTAAAAGTTTCACTTATAACATACATAATTTACATTGTAGATGGACAAGCCAGGCACACCGGGCGCCAAGGCACGCACTCCCACCCCAAATGCTGCCGCACCAGCTCCGGGCGTAAACCCCAAACAGCTGATGCCACAAGGCGGTCCGCCGCCTGCCGGTTATCCAGCCTCAGCGTATCAGCGACCTGCTGACCCCTATCAGAGGCCACCATCCGATCCGGCATATGGACGACCGCCACCACTACCTTACGATCCGCATGCGCACGTACGAACAAATGGCATTCCACATCCTCAAGCGTTAACTGGTGGAAAGCCGTAAGTTACACTAATAAAACATTTTTTTGTTTTCGACTCTTCATAAAATTTGCATTATGTTCTCTCTTATAGCGCATATTCGTTCCACATGAACGGCGAAGGCAGCTTACAACCGGTGCCGTTCCCATCCGACGCACTAGTTGGTGTTGGCATACCACGACACGCCCGACAAATAAATACCCTATCACACGGCGAGGTAGTGTGCGCTGTTACCATTTCGAATCCCACGAAGTATGTGTATACAGGTGGCAAGGGTTGCGTTAAAGTTTGGGACATCTCACAGCCGAATAATAAAAATCCAGTCAGCCAATTGGACTGTCTGCAACGTGACAATTACATACGCTCCGTGAAATTACTGCCTGACGGTCGTACGTTGATTGTGGGTGGTGAGGCGTCCAATCTCTCCATATGGGATTTGGCCAGTCCGACGCCACGCATTAAAGCCGAATTGACATCCGCAGCGCCGGCTTGTTATGCGCTCGCTATTAGTCCTGATTCGAAGGTGTGCTTCTCGTGTTGTAGCGATGGTAATATCGCGGTGTGGGATTTGCACAATGAGATATTGGTGCGCCAATTCCAAGGACACACTGACGGCGCCTCATGCATCGACATCAGTCCGGATGGTTCGCGACTGTGGACCGGTGGTCTTGATAATACGGTGCGTTCGTGGGATTTACGCGAAGGCCGCCAATTGCAACAGCATGATTTCAGTTCTCAAATATTCTCCCTGGGCTATTGTCCGACAGGTAAGTTTCGTAGAGCATTTAACTATTGAATATTTAATTTTTGAAAAACTTGAAAAMAATTTTTTTCCTTTTACTTTTTTCTGTGTTTTTAATATTTATGATAAATTGTTTTATTCTTTTTTCCATCAGGCGAATGGCTCGCTGTGGGTATGGAGAACTCACATGTCGAAGTATTGCACGCATCCAAGCCAGACAAATATCAACTGCATCTACATGAAAGCTGTGTACTCTCGTTACGTTTCGCCACCTGTGGCAAATGGTTCGTCTCCACTGGCAAGGATAATCTATTGAATGCCTGGCGAACACCATACGGTGCAAGCATATTCCAGGTATGTCCGCTTCGTGTTACAATTTCACAAACTCATTTATATTTATATATTTATTTTTTTGTATTAATTCCGATTTGCAGTCGAAAGAAACTTCATCCGTACTTAGCTGCGACATATCAACCGATGACAAATACATTGTGACGGGCTCCGGCGACAAAAAAGCAACGGTTTACGAAGTTATTTACTAATAAGTTCTAATTTGTTTAAWTTTGCTATAAACCTATAAGAAGAAATACTAAATTTTCTTTTGTGCAAAACAATTATATTACCACACAGCAGCGATCATACATACCCACACATACACATATACAATGACAAGGAAAAAATGGCAAATRATAAGCGAAAATGTGTAAAATGTATGAGCTCGCAAACGCGAATGTCGTGCCGACAGGGCAATGAAAAATGAATAGTTCGCTTTGTAGTAGTGGCTTTTGATAGGACTCACGAAAAGCTAAGCAAAACAAAACAAAAAACACAACACAAAAAAGAAAGAAAGTATGAAAAATGCAGAAACAGGAGTGCAGATAGTTTGAGTTAGGAGGGACAATGAATATTCGTATAAGCGGACGTACATGGGAATCATGTTTAATGAAAAAAAGTAACCAGAAACACGAAAAAGGTAAAGAAGAAACGATAAATAAGAATTAAAATTGAAAATATATAATTATAAATAATAACATAAACAAATTGTAGGTTTTAAGTAATTTTAAGTAAAGTTAAAGAGACAAGAAGAAGAACACAAAACAAAAAATTAATTAAAAACTAAGAAAACACACAGCAGGAGCGCAAGAATGCAAGAACTTATTAAAATATTATAAACCTAAAAAAACGCAAAAACAACAAAACACCTTAACTTAAGCAAACGAAAAATAAATACATAACTGCAAAACATGTGCGGCACAGTAAAGCAGTAAAATAAAAACGTTTGCTTATTAATTGACAAAAAAAGTGTGCTGGACTACTCGAAAGTGTGAACCATGTGGATGGGGTAAACMGAATTGGTTTGTTTTCTGGCTTGTTGACAACTGATATAGCTCGTAAACAGTTAACAGTACGCATGCATGCCACTTCCAAGGTTAATATAATGTATGTTTGTATTTATGTACGCTCCAATAACTCGAAAAATGTTGCTGCATGGAAAGGCGAAAAAATCCAATAACAAACAATTTTTTCTTAGCACATATTTTACAACATTATATATTTATACAAGTGACTAAAGAAATGTAGTAAAGAGAAAAATTTGTAAAAACAAAAACGAAAAATTACAATTAAAACTTGTATGTTCAGGGATTTTATTGCACTGTTAACGAACGTCTGTTACACAACTTCCGCTTAAATGCTTAGGAGGAGCATAAGTTGTCGCCTGCCATTTCTTATATGGCCCGGCTGGTCTTGGCTTCAAAAAAGTGTGCATACGTCGCGCCGCTTGTGTCAGCGGTTGCGCTGCGTCGAGTCGCCTTAGCCTTAGACCAAACAAGCATTCACCGCCACATTTATTTTCTTTTTTTTTTTTGGAGGCAGTCGCGTCGTAATTTCTACGCGTTTAATTTAGTAACTGTAATTTTTTTCTAAGCTAAGCAAATTTCCAAACATCTGTGTATGTATTGTTTCTTCCGCCGAAACTATCGCTTACTTTGGCTAATTTTCGTAACAGCTTTTTCACGAATCATGCTTTCTGTTGTTTGTTATACACGCGTTTTCTTCTTGCTCTTATTTTTAATTTTTTTTTTTTGCAACATTTAAACATTTTCTTGTATATTTTTAAATAAAAAAATTCAAATGTCATTTCTTCATGTATGTATGTAAACGCTTAAATACCTAGTGTTAATGATCTATTATTATTTTATTTTATTTTGTCCATTTTAAGCGCATTGATATTTTATTTTATTTTTTAATTATAATTGTCTTACATATATACATAGCTATATATATATTTCTGTGTAGTTTAAGTGCGTACGATAATACTGTATGGAAAAATGAATAAAAGAAGAACTTTAAATTTAAATTAATTAAATTATAGTAAAGGAACGTCGTTATAAAATGGAAAAGTAAATAACACTTAAGTATATACATGCATTCAATGCGCGCTTTTGCAGAGCATTAATCCAAAACAACAACAAAGAAGTGAAAACAAAAGCAAACGAATCAACAAAGCAAAGATGCTTCATTAGAAAGCATAAATTTTGYGTTTTGAAGTCAATAATTGCCACAGTGTTGCTCTACTACAACTATAGAAGCATGTCGCTGCTGCACAAAATATTGTAAATTTCACTCAAACCACAAAACTTTGCGATATAGTTAGCTATTCGACTTGATCAACGCGCAGCTGTGTGGCAATTATCGCAAGTCTAACCCAACGAGCTCAAGCATTACTTCGGCTACATACCCGCCCCGTCCACACATTTATGGTTGCTTGACTTTCTACCTTTGTTTTTATTTTTACTACCAAMCACTCTTTATACATGAAATCCCGTGTTTTTTCTCCCCACACAGCTCATTCGGCTTTCTTATCTATTTTGTAGACTTTCCAAACTTTCCTATTTCTCAATCACTTCCAAAAACTTGCATATACTATGGCAACAAGGAACTATACATATACACACATCCACGCGCATACACATGAAAATATAAAAGTAAATATATGTATATATATGCATATATATGTATGTATATAATT